ATTTTTACGTTTTTTACTGGTCTCTATTGCTAAAATTGCAAAGCTGATCATTTTGTTATAGAGTATATAAAATAAATAAAATATTTAGACAGGTTAAAGTATAAGTGTACTGTTATAGAAATTACAGTTAAATTTACTTTCCCTCCTCCATTCCCAATACTTACTCACCTGGATTGTATAAAAGTGGCCTGCAGGGATCTTTGGCACTTCCGGATTAATTGTCTTTCTCTTTGATTTCCCAGTGCAGTAGAACCCCATAAATGAGCCACTCCAGAGATAGCTCCTGTGTATGGGGTCCCACTGTACATGTATGGGGTTCTACTGTACATCTGTATGACTAAATTCCTTATTCATGAATTTTGCTATATATTGGTATGTGTGCAAAATTCATGTAAAGGTGTCCTGTGTGAAATAACTTTAAGAGAAAGCTTGGGTGAAGCAATACATTAATTATTGGTGTACTAAACTTATAAGAACACACATTCTTTGTCAGCCACTTCTCTAACAAAAATCAGGGAGGGACCAGCAGCTAAACAGCAATTGCATTTGTTTCTGAAATACATAAAAAGGTAGCCCTAAAAGAACTGCTGGGTTTCTGAACCATTTTCCTACTGGCCAATTTGTATGACGTTGAGGGCTTTAGCTTATTTTACTTTAGATTATAAACTTTCCTATAGCTTTTAGATCTTTTGTGTCTTCTATTCAATTGGTAAATTGAGACCTATTATCACAGGATAAAAAATCAAGTGTTGCACCAAAAAAAAAAAAAATGTTTCAAGTTGAAATGAATTACATTGTCGAAGTCACATTTAAAGAACCTTTTCCTTACTGTGCTGTATTATTTTAAAAAAGGCATGACATTCTGCATTTTCGTGTGCAAGGTTTCTTGTCATTATCAATTTTGCTGCTGGAACAAACAAAAGTCTGGGCAGAAGCATCATCCCCAGTCTTCTGGACCTATGGCATTGTCTCCTCCTTTTTCTTCTTCCTCTCCTCCTGCAAGATAGTATAATGTTAAAACTCTCTCCACTTCTTCCTGTGCAGCTCCCACACCAACACCTGGCAGCATGTCAGTATGAGATTTGAGATTTATCTACTTTTGCCCCCCCTTCATTGGGACAAAGCATAATTATCCAAAACAATGCTTCCAATTTTATTACTTTAATGTATTTTTAGCTCACTGAGCACTTTGCTCTATTACTGTGGTTTCTGAAGCACACGCAGAGTGGAATTCCACCTGCCAGTAAGGTCACAGATCAGTTTGTAACAGCATAGGCTGTACTGCATTTGCCTCTTCTGACACTTTCAGTTGAATCCCATTGGTTTTTTTTTAATTACATTTTTATAAACCCATAAGTCTATATTAACAGACAAAAAAAAGAAGTGATTCATAAAATCTGCCCTACCAGTGGTCCACTGAGTATTTCCCTGTTTTTCAGCATAATATGTCAGTAATTCCACCGTTGTTTTTCTGTATTTATTACAATTTTTTCAGTTTTAAATTAAAAGAAAATGCTGAATAGAAAGTGAAGGAAATAAATGTATGTGATTGCTGGGAGGTGGAGAATCCTGATTCTGTCTCTTAGGTAAATAGTGTAGCCTTCTTAGGAGGTTAGGAGACCATGAACCAAAAAATAAGATCTAGGAGCACAGATGAGAATTGATGTCCGTATAAGCCAGTTCTCTTAATCTGGGGAGGTGGCTCAGAAGATTGTGTTATACTGCAAATTAGGAAATTCTTATGTATATTCATCTGCCTACAATTCTGCCAGACTTGATTTCAAATCACTCATCTCCACTCGTATTTTTTTTTAGTCCTTAAAAAGTTGTTAATTACACATAAATAAATAACATAGAAACTAGGTTCACACCAAGTTATACAAAATGTTTAGGGCCAGTGGATGGATGGTGTTTTGAAATGTGACACTCATACGCTCGTTTTTAAAAAAAATATCATACTGGTTTAAATAGAAGACTCCTCCCTCATTAATAAGGTCATCATTTGGTTCAGCAACAGAGCTTGAGATTTTGCATTTATTTCCAAACATCATACAATGGAAATTGATTATTTGAATAGCGTGTCTATAATAGCAGAGTTAAAATGAAAAAGTATAATTACAGATTGTATCATGAAGTGTGCTCAAAGAAACAAAACAGCCGTCTAATAGACCACTGTGAAGTAGAATAGAGCCTTCTAATAACATAAGTTACTTAGATGTAACAACTTCTTTCACAAATTACTTGAGTGTCATAGATTAGCTGGCTAATATAAGACAGAGATGAGGAACAGGATACATAGTATTTGAGGTTGAATAAAGACATTAGTCCATCAAGTCCAACCTATTAGGATCTCATTCTAGGAGTACCTGTACCCCTGTATATTACGGTCCCTTAAGAAATCGTCCAAAAGTTTCTTGAACAATTCCACATTCTTTGCTGAAATCACTGTCTGTGGCAGTGAGTTCCAGACCCTAACTGATCTTACTGTGAAGAACCCCCTTCGCCCCTTGTGCTGGAATTTTTTTTCCACCAATTTTAGGTGGTGGCCTCTAGTTTTTGTAATGGAGTTAATTTTAAACAGTTTATCGCTAATGTTGCTGCCACCATTGAACATTTTGTACATGGAGATCATATCCCCCCTCAATCTCCTCACCTCCAATGTGAACATGTTTAAATTTAGTAGCCTTGTCTCGTAGCTCTGGTCCTCCATACCCCTAATTAGTTTGGTTGCCCTCCGCTGGACTTTTTCCAACTCAAGGACATCTTTTCTTAGTACTGGTGACCAGAACTGGACCGCGTACTCCAGATGAGGTCGAACCAATGATCTATAAAGTGGCAAAATTATAGACTTGTCCCTGCAATACATCCCCTTTTTAATACAGGACAAGACCCTGCTAGCTTTGTTTACAGCAGCCTGGCACTGCAAACTACCTTTCAGTTTGTGGTCTACAATGACCCCCAAATCCTTCTCCATTTCTGACTTCCCCAGCGGCATACCCATAATTGTATAACCCATTTGTTTATTTTTAATTCCAAAGTGCATTACTTTGCATTTATCGACATTAAACCTCATCTGCCACATTAATGCCCATGCCCACTCCTTTATACAGTATAAACCAACCATAGAACCTCAAACCCAGTTATGTTGCTACAGTGCAAATACCCTGATACCCAGCTTGTGAAAGGTGCCAATCCAAAAAGGTAATATCATAAAGTATCAGCTGAATTCCCAGTATTCACACTATTAGATGTATGCATTCATTGAGCATTATTTTAAAACTCAAAAACAATAATATTATGACTTACTCTCCTGAACTTTATATCCCTACTCACAATGGGATGTATTGTATTACTAGAGCTGTATTGTCTCCTCTCTGCCTGATGATCTCCATGAGGAGGACCACCAGTTGGGTTCCTGAAAGTCACTGCACACGTGCTGCCAAGTCATGCTGGTCTTTGGTCTTTAACATGTTTTAATGATGATATAAAAAATTTGTATGAATCTTATATTGTGACTTCCAGGGATATGGCTGATGCTTTATTATAGTACTTTTTCTTCATTTTGACAAGTTGCATATGGGGATATACTGTATGAATTTACTGTATGTTGGTATATAGTGGTTCCACAAGAATCTCCATCTGCATCCATTGCAAAATACATGGCCACAAGCGATAGGTATGCAAGTGTGACGAGGAATTTGAGAGGCATAGCATGGCTTCAATACAACCATTTGAAAAGAAACAATATGTGATTGAAAATGTTGTGGACCAAATGAAAACAAAACTGAATCAGCAAAAAATTATGCAGCAATAAAGGTTTGCTTGTTTAATTTAAAAACTGCTAAATGTTATGGAGCAACACACAGAGAATGTTGTTTCCCTGACACTGTAAAATATTATTTAATGGTAACTCAACATTATGTATTATGGGTGGGTGACCCTCTCCAGCTATGGATTTTTATGTGAACTGTACACTGTGCAAGAGGCTGTTTTTATCTCTCGTGGAAGCAGGCAGATGGGGATGTCTAGGTATAGCCAGGATGGCAGATTTGTATGGCCCAGTTTCAGATGTAGTGCTGAGGTTCTTACTCTACAGGGAAGTTTTAAGAATGCTGGGGGCCTAGAGGTAACCAGCCCATCTGAAGGAAGCTGGCACATTAGTGCCTCCAAAAGATATCCCAGGCTCCTAAGTGAGTGGTTCCACCTGGGAGACAGGGGAGGTCTCTGTGCAGGGGTCTGAAGGGCTCAACCCTGGAACCAGCTTGTGTGGCAAACGGGTGTAATACAGCCTGTGTGGCAATACACCGGTGTGGTGAGGACCAGCCTGTGTGACTAGTCTGAGAAAACAGACAAAGCAAGAGAACCAGAGGGTCCAAACAACCAGATGCTGGAGGTACAAACCAAGAAGACTAATCTGTGTTTGCGTTGCCAGTACTGTGTGTACTATAAATTGGAAAAACATCTGTGAGGGATAAACCTGTGTGGAATTGTTTTGACTTTTGAATTAATAAAGTGGGCAAAGAAGCCCTAAAAAGAAAACTTAAGCGAGTGGAAGTGTCCTTAACGCACTACCGTTTGGAGCTAATTCTCACACTCTTCATTGAAATTAGTATGTAAGATGACAGGAAATGTCATCCGTTGGAATTCTAAGCTGTGGGAAAATGAGGAAATGCCCATTATATTTATTACCGCATTAGGATTGTTTTCTGCTTAACTGGTTTCCATCTATTCTTCAGTAACATGTAAGAGTCCTCACCCGTGTGTTGACATTTTAATTCTGGTCTATGTGGAAAGGGAGATATACAGAGCAGACACTCCTCTCTGCCTTAAAAATAGCACCTATGACCCTCCTTGTCTTAACCCCCACCCCTCTATTTTATATATGTAGATTTTAACTAAGGTAAACGCTTAACCATTACAAATAGGCTGATAAGATGGCACAAGAAGAATGAAGTAAGTTTTTATTGTGCAAAAGTCATTGATAAGCTATAGTTTTAAGTTTAATAGGTGTGGTGAACTCTTCTAAAGGAACCAATTCTTGAGTTGTTGGCTCCCCAGTCATTGTATTTCCTGTACTCTCCAGGTCTCAGGTAATTCTGGCGTCCTCTGTAGTTGGGCTCCTCATAGAACATCCAGTAGCCATCTTGTACATCAACAGAGTGGATGTCATGGTAACGGAATCTCTCATAGACATTTGGACAGTCCTCAGTGAACTCCATCATCTGGCCTCTAAAGTCTTCTTTCTCATAAATCCTGATTCTGAATGAACCCTGATGCTGTGTTAAAAACAAAAATATTTCAAAATAAATTGACAGTGCAAACATTTTTTAGCAAGAAATATCCTACATTGCCTTTGGTTATTCTGTTTGTAATATCTGCTTACTCTTTTATCAAATAATTCATAATTATATTTACTCTACAAACATAATAATAGTAATAATTATAACAATAGTAATACATTGTTTTCTAAATGTTTGCCTGTCATGATAGCAAAGTTATTAAGCTGTCACTCACATATAATAGCAGATAATTCCAGGTGAAATAAAGCTGCATAGGTTTTTTTCTATGCTTCTTTGCACTGTGGTGTTTTGATATACAAATGTAAACCTCATAGGTCAAATTAGTGCATTGTTCCAGTTCCACTGCACATGCCTCCTTATTGGTCCAGTAATGGATAAACAACTTCACTAGGAACAAGGTGTTTACTTCATCTTAGAAGTTAAAATTGGCACATTAGAACATCTCAGCATTTAAAACTCTTGGGACACTTTAGAAGACAGCTGTAGTAAACTGTGGCACCTGGCAGTGCCTTACATTGCATGCAGGTAACAGCTTAACAACTACCACTATGGATTTACTTTAATGTTGGTACCATTATTAAGTTCAAAGCATATGAAGAAAATGCATACTGAAATTACAAACTTTTGGAAGAAGGATGTTTTACAGATGTTTAACAACAGAGTTGCCTGTAAGTAGTAGTGTTTGGTGTGTAACAATTATACCAGGTGCTAGTAGGCTTGATGTGTATATGATCTATCCCCTTTTACTAAAATGTTTTTTGACTTTGTAAAAACTATTTTACACAATCGCATGACAATTTAAATGCCTTGTTCAACAAAAACAGTAAATGCTCGATACTTACTTGGGGACTCAGACGACAAGATCTAATAGAATCATTATAGCCCATCCATTGCTGGAAATCTGGGTATTCTCCTTTTTGAAGGAAGTACTGGTGTCCCCTGTAGTTGGGATGTTCATACAGGATCCAGTTTCCACTTTCCACGCGGATGGAGTTGCAGCGTCTGAAGTATGAGGACAGGTCTGGACATTCAGAGTTACACTCATAAGAGCGACCCTGGAAGTTTTTGTCCTCGTAGAAGGTGATCTGTTAAAAGTAAAATATTGGCAATAGTGCATTACTTTCATTATTGCAAACATTTGAAGATACGCTATAGACAATTCTGTTTTGGTAAAATAAAAACTGCTTTCCTGACGTCAAGATCATTTGTAAAAGCAAAATAAATATGGTATACCTTTCCCATGCTGCTAGCTTAGTTGTGTTCCAGCGAGGTGTGAACTCCGGAAAGCAGGGATGGAAGGTTTATATACTCAGTGCTTTGAATGTTTAAAATAATGCTTGCACTTTTCACCAGTAAACAAAAAGGGGAGCTGTTTCATCCCTTTTATGTATAGGACCCTTCTGTTTCTTTGTGATCATTGTTCTTATTTGTTCCATAGCACAAAGCCTGCAAAACACTGCATTACTTTGAACAAAAGATGATTTTATACTGTATGAAGGGTTTATATTGTTTTTTAAGAACAAATGATAGGCAGGTTTAAAAGAAAAAAAATCCCCCATAGAAAGTTTAACTCTAAAAGTTACTACTTCATAACAGTCACAGCCCTCACAGTTCTCTCTTTTGTGCTAGGATAATAACTGCTCATTTAAAGATATAATTTTTACCAGCCCTGGAAACTTGAGTTTGTTTTAGCCATAGTTTATTTAACCACTTCAGTAGCGGCATATTACACCCCCTTCATTACCAGGCCATTTTTCAGCGCTGTGCAAGTTTGGCTGAGAATTCCTCCGTCACGCAAAACTGTAACAAAATTATATTTATATCCTATTTGGGACAAATAGAGCTGTCTTTTAGAGGTATTTCATAACCACTTTTTATCATTATTTTTTACTGTATAAAGTAAAAAAAAAAAAACAATTTGAAAAAACCCTGTTTGTCTTACTTTAATTTTATAAATAATAGAAAATAAAAATGTCAAGACAGTACACAAATCCCCGAAATGACCCCCTTTTTGAAAGTAGACACTCCAATGTCTGTTCTGATATTTTGCCACAATATTTTGGAAATGAGGAACATGCTGGTATTTAGGGGATTAAAACATGGAGTTTGGTAATAGTACACAAGATACAATAAATGTACAGGTCATATGCAAAAGGGAGGAGTGGGTGAAGGGGTTAATGTACAGGTCACATGCAGTAGGAGGATGGAGATGAAGGGGTTATTGTATAGATGTGAAGGATAAGAGAGAGTGAAAGGGTAATATACAGGTCAGAGCATAGATAGAATGGTTCTGACATAAGCATGAGAGGAGAGGGGCTAAAGGGGTTAAAATGATTTGAATTTTTTTAAAATTTTTGCTGCTACTACAGCTTATGTTCACTAGTAAGTAATGAATGAATGACTCATCTATTCATTACTTACTTTACTCTCCCCTGCTTCTGATGTAAGAAGAAGGGGACTGGTTGGCAATATAAACATTGCCATGTGATCACTGCAATAACCAATCACAGTGATAACAGGACACAGAGCTGGTCCGATCAGCTCTCTGTCTAAAACTGCTGTTCTCCCCTATCCAATGACAGCGCAAACAGTGGCTGCAGAAGTCATGTACACACACATTCACAGGAAGATGTACAGGTATGTCCTCGTGAAACAATGTGCCTGTGGACCGGCTGTATTAATACAGTGGCCTGTCCGCAGGTGGTTACATTGTAATGCTTGAACTTAGTGTGTACTTATGTCATGCTAGTTGTCAACTGCCTCAAAATATATTACTACATATGTTCAGCATGGCTTTTTGTCAAGAAGAGTCTGTTTGTTTGTTTTAATTGGTGCACAGGGTCCCTCCCCCTGTTATGAGGAGTTTCACACACCACCAGTAGTTAATCTCCAGAGTTGTGTCTGACCTACAGGAGTGCGCTCTAAACATTGTGCTTTCTATACATAGCCTCTAAAATAGGAAAAAGGCAACATTTAAAGCACATATAATTATTGTAATACAGCCACTCCCTCCTTCTCTGTCTAATTTTAGCAGGTTTGTTCCAACTCTGTGTTTTAAAATTTTACATTTAACATTTTGTCAAAATTACTCTGTTTTTCTTACATTATGCTACTGTGCTCTGAACTCTCAAAGACTAGTATATTATTTACCAATACCCCACTCAGCTGTTTAATCCCCTGTATATAGAAATGAAAATAGTTTATTTGTAGGCTCCCAAAAGTGGAGTACAAAGAAATAGTGTACACATTTCATACAACACTTTAAAAAAAAAATCACACTCTTAGATCAAAAAATCCTTCAAGATACTGTGTTTGACCTAAAATATCTTACTACTTTTTATTGCTTGTAACTTAACACACCACAGAAGAAAAGACTAAGCAGCTAGACAGAAAGTGTTTGACACTGTTTGTATCTACTGGCCTGTATACATTATTGTTCCATTGCAGCAGTTCTCACTATTGGGCTGTTCATCTTCAAAAAAGGGTGAAAATATTTTTTGCTTTCAGGCATTACTGACCTTTCACCAAGTGGTACAATAATTGTAATTTATGTCACAGACTATTTTAAATCCATGGGCCCCCAGCCAGTTTAATGTGATCATGCAGGCAAGACTGAGGGTACACAAGTACAGTATCTGTGCTCTGCTTCTTACATGTACATTTCTAAAGAAAATATCTTATGTAAGGTGACTAGATTTTTAAAAATGAAATCTGAAGACACCTTACTGACCATGCCAACTTTTAACCACACCTACAAAATCACTTTCCCAATTGTAGTCATACCCACACAATCACACCCCCATTTTTTTTTTAAATCAAGTAATTTTTATTAAAGTTTTGCAGAGACAGAACAATACAGTGACATGTTGCTTTCGGTACAAGATGATTACGTACAGATGCACAGATTATTGTCAGCAATCAAATCACAAACACACTAGGAAAGGGTATACAAATACAGAGGACTCCGGGGAAAGAACCAAAAAGCATCTTAACAACTAGTAGGGGTACAAAGCTTGCATAGGTCCTAGAATGCGCCTCTCAACCTCCAGTTCGTGGTCCCTCCTACATCCAGACAGCCCACACGTTTGCACAACCATGTCAGAGATCGTTAACCCTATAAGCTATCTCAAAACGACTCTACCGAGTTCCTTCAGTATAAGGCCACTCCTGCATGGGGAGATAGGATACAAAGCACCTACCCTAAGGATAACACCTATCCCTCACCAACCTCAACTGCCACTTGAGGTAAGGTGCCCGGATCTGTGTATCCATTTCGTCCATATATTATGGAATTTAGAGATATTATCTCTGTGTTGGAATATCACTCTTTCGAATGCTATCAAGCGGTCAAGCTCTTTTATCCACATGCTTACCGTGGGAACCATTAAATGAGATCCAGTGAAGCGCAATCACCCGACGTGCTGCAAACAGGGCTCTGGATACAGCAGTCAGAGTGACATCGTCCCACAGGTCAGCATCCAGGATAGAAAGCAAGCATGCATACGGAGAGCAAGAGACCTGAACCGCGAAGACTGAGCTAATGACTGCAGTGACCCCACTCCAATACCTGACCAGTTTGGGGCAGCGCCACAGGAGGTATATAAGGGAGCCTGGTGCCATGCCACACTTAGGGCACCTGGCATCGGTCCGCATCCCTATTTTACACAGAAATTCCGGAGTTCTATATGTTCTATGTAGGATAGATATTTGAGTCCACCTATGTGACGATGACAAGGATGAGAGCCCAACACCCTGTAGGGCCGTCTCCCAATCCTCTTCCGAGATGGAGCCCAATTCCTCTTCCTATCGCCCCCTGCTCAAGAGCGGATACCTTACCAAAAAGCGGGGGAGGAGAAGTGCATATAACTCAGAGATCAGCCCTTTCGTAGTGGTGGAGAGTATCACTGAACTCAACGATTGAACTCAGTTTGAGCAGAGGGAGCGAGTCGAGGGTAGCATGAGTCCCTTGTAGACATATTATAGACGGCCTGTGGGAGCGAAGGAAGGTGTAGACAGCAGTCCTCTTGGTCTTGTCCCCCAAACCGCGAACATTCCAGGAAAGAACCAACAACTTACGGGCCAACATCGCAGGTGTCATGGCATGTTTGGTAGTGGGAACTTGTGCAGCGTGGGACCGAACCCTGCTGAACAGCAGGGGGAAAGGGCCAATCCGAAGGTATCTCTGTGAGGCCTCTGTGAGACCGTGACAAGAACAAAAAATAAAAACCAACAGACAAAGACACACCTGTAAAAATTAAAGGCGTAACAACATTTCACGGGCCAACCACGGCAACAAAAAGCCGGCTTGATCCAAAAACCAAAGAAAAACAGTATGACGTTTTCCACGCAAAAAAAAAACAGAAAAAAAGGCTGCGTGGAAGGGGCTGGAGACATTGGAGTCTACAGTAGTGCGGGCTGCCATCCTCGGAGGTTCCGGCACTCAAGATATGGTAAGTAGGTAAACATCTTCCAAAAAAGAGATGGGACCTTGGAATTATCCGCCAGTTGCGGAAGCAGATAACCACATATTAAGGGTCTCCATGTTTGCGGGACATCTTATCCATCCAGGTAGAGGCAGAGATAGGGGAATCGAAGAAGACGGTTTCACCATCCGCGACGACCCGAAGTTTAGCAGGGTAGAGCATGGAGTATTGGTACTTGAGTTGGCGAAGAACCTCGAGAAATTTGGCGAGCTTTACCTCGAGAAATTTAGCCCTCTTTTTCTGGACCTCTTGGGAAAAATCCGGGAAAAGCATGATTTTGGATCCCTCCATGGAAATTTCTCCCATCTCACGAGCCTTAGGGAGCATGACTTCTTTATCCCGAAAATTCAGGAGGCGAAACAGCATAGGGCGTGGCGGACCCCCAGGTGGGAGAGGTCTAGTTGGAACCCTGTGCGCCCGCTCTACCATAAACATTGGGGAGAAGGACTCTTTGCCAAAGGTTTCAATCAGCCATTTTTCAGCAAATAGCGTGGGGTTGGGGCCTTCCGCCCTCTCAGGGATCCCAACAGCTCTTATATTGTTGCGTCTCAATCTATTTTCGATATCCTCAGTTTAAGGGAGTTCTCTGCGGATCTTTGAAGTGCGGATTTGAGGTCTGCCTGTATGGGGGCATTAGCATCCTCAAGGTCACCAAGCCGACCCTCCAAGACTGTGGTTCTGTCTCGGACCTTTTGGAGGTCATGCCGTAGGAACGATATATCCGCCCGCATCCCATGTACTTGGTCGGTCAGGGAGGAT